ATGCCGAGGAGAAATATCCGCTTCTCCTTCCGCTTGGCGTCGAGGTAGGTCGGAGATTCGCCTTCTACAGTGACGTATTATGCAAGCGGGTGCGAGAAGAAGGTAGTAGTTGGGAGAATGGGGGTGGTTGGAGGAGAGGGCGTCGTTTGGCAATCTTAGGGGATTCCGTGGATACAATGGGATCTCAATACATCACTTCACCTAACCCGACTCCCGCCTCTCTCTCTCTCTCTCTTCTCTATCTCTCTTTCTCCGTCGTTTCTCTTTCACCTCTCCGGCCTTCCTCCTCTCGTGCCAACCTCTTTGGTTCCCGTTTCTGCGGAGCAGCACCAACGAGGCTCCCAGATGCCGTAATAGCTTAGGAGCCGACGTAATAGCTGCCACTGCCTTCCTAGAGAGAGTTATAGTTCAACAACGCAGAAATGGAATCGCGAGAGAGAAAGGAGGTGGGCGGAAGGTGAGGTAGCAGCACGGCGAAAGAGGGTGGCGTTCGCTGGGGATGGAGGCGAAGAGAACACGGAGAGGAGCCGCCGAAGAATCGCCGACCCGATGCTGAAGTATCCCGGATAAAACGACGGGGAAGGGGAGCGGGGGCGCAATAACTGCGGAGAGAAGGACGGATGATTGCGAAAATGCGAAATGTCGCATACGGCGCGATGCATTGTGGATCGCACGGAACCAAAATCGAACTTGCCGTCGGTACACGCGATTGAAAACAAAAACGTGAGCAACATCTTCGGCGAATGTGTCTCTGAGAAATAAATCTGTTGGGTTTTCTATATAGAATTTTAAGATTTGTTAGCCAAAGTTAATTATAAACAATATTTAATAATTGTAAAAGAATATTAATTGAATTTAAAGTAGAATTTGTTGAATCAAATTTATAGAAAAAATGCATAACTAGTTGTATCTTTCTCTTCATAGTGTGTGTAATTTATATAACAATTTTGATCCAAATTGTATATTTAAAAAAAAATGCTTGTAAAATATTACATATTAAATGAGAATAATATCGTTGCTATAAATAATAATACTACATTACGATAACGATAAATTTCATCAAGTAATACCATCTATACAACGTATAAAGATGTGTAAATTTCTATTTATAAATCTTTCTTTTACTTGAATTAAATTAAAAAGATTACTTTAAAAAATAAGAAAATTTATCGCGAAGGATATGCTGGCAAACATAATCGATTTAAAATATCCGCCGAGATTAGATTAATTAACGATGACAGAAAAAAAGAGTATATGTTCAGAAAAGATTTTAGAAAGATATGACCTCGTAACTAGATATAAGTAATAGTTCTCATATTTTCTTAAATAGAATCTGGTAGAGCTATTCAAATCTTATGCAGTTCCAAATACGAGTTTCAAACATACATTACATTCTTTATGCATGCCTATTAATACGAATTATAATAAAATATCTTGTCTGAGCACCTTTTATCTAATATTTGAGCCAAATGCTCCTAAAAAGATTCAATTATTCAATTCTATATTTTCATCTCACTATCGTGCAGCATGGATTAATTAATATATGTTCATAGACATAGACGCACATTATTCAATATTCATCGTAATACTTGTTCATCATTTTATCCATACTTTAATGAGTTCAATGTAAATTTGGCATTTATTTAATTTTGTTAGAATTTTAGAAACTACACACATAACCAAATGAAATTCATGCATAATGCTTTAATACATATCTCTAGAGATTTTAGATAATATTTGAATATATTTTTGCGGATATCATAAAATAACTTTTCGTCACAAAATCATTTGCATTATATTTAACAAATGCCGTTTTTGATCATTTATATGACAAATCCTGCCTTTCATTCCTCATGATGAAATGAAATAAATTCAAATAAAGGAATTTGGTATTTTGTAGTACACTAGCGTGTATTTTTTTAAGAATAACTGTGATGCATAAAGTTAATTGATACTCGGAATTGTATATCTTTATCACATTTTCATATTACATTAATTTCAATCATAGATTAGATTTTGCTACTTTTCATGGATTACCAAATAAAATTTGAAATCCACGAAGGGGAGAAGGAAACGTCGGTCAAGATAACAGTGCAAGTAATACAAAAGCCCAAGAGAATTGGAGGCACTCCTCTATCGAGCCTGCGAATCCTTTCTCCGAAAAACAATTTATCGACTACCACCCATCAAATGGATACCACCCGCCGTTGCACTACCCTTTCCAGAAGAGAAAATCACAATCACGTCTGCGACCTCTCTCATTTCTGTTTACCGTGCACCGAGGCGGGCGCGCTACGTGATGGCGAATACTGTCATCCCGCATTCCAGTCGCGAGCATCGGGAAAGATAGAAAGAATCCCGTTGCGTCGCTCGTCCCACCCGGTCCATCCCCGATTCCCCGATCCCCCATTCCCATCTGCCCGCGCCCTAGCGCGCGTAGAAGGTGCATATTCAGGAGAGAGAAGCCCGTGGAAACTCCGGGACGTTGACACCAGAAGCTGGATTCTGGACGTGGGGATGGCGGTGGTAGGTCGGACGCGACCCGTCCGTTAACATAGTATGTACCCCCGCTAGGGGTAGCGGGTGGCATGGAGTAAGACAGGAGCGGAGAGGAGAAAGCGAGATCGCAGTGTGGTGGTGCCGCGAGAGGAAAGAGCGGAGGAGGGGAAGGAAAAGAGAGACGCGAGTTATTCCAGGCATAGTGAGACGTTCGAGCAGGACAGACGTGATGCCTTCGTACCGGGCCGGACAAGGAAGACACGCTAATACACCGACATCGTCGCCGTTGTCCTCATCCTCATCCTCGTCCTCGTCGTCTTCGTCGTCGTCGTCGTAGCTGTCGACGTCGTGCGGTCATGGACCACTGTTGGTACCGTTGGAAAAGGCGTGGCGACGTCGCGTTCGCGCACCTTTGCACCTGGTGCGCCGGGGAAGACACGCCTCTCTGTGGAATTCCTCTCTCCAATCCGCCTACACACCCTCTCTTTCTCTCTCTCTCTCTATCTCTCCCTCTTTCCCTCTCTCTCTCTCTCTTTCTCTATCTCGTGTCCCTCTCAACTTCCTCCTTCTCCTCTACTCGTATCGCCGTGTGCTGCGCTTCTCCGACTTTCTCATTCGAAAGCGTTCCTCGCTCTTCCATCCTCCTTCCCTACCATCAAATGCCTAGGAGGAGATCAAGAATCTCTATTCTCTTCTACCGACAGCTTCGTGCCTCCCTCCCGTACTCCTCCTGACCACCGTTACCGGCATACTATCGCCGGCAGCAGAGAGGACGAGCCGCCGCCACCACCACCAGCATCACCACCACCACCCTACTATCATTACTACCACCGCTAGCGGATGCGTCTCCTCCTAGGCCGGTATCCTGGTTAAATCGCTACGCCAGCATGTTGCACATGTATGTGCAGTATGCACATACGCGTCCATCGCACGCATGCTCGCCGAGCTCTCAGCGTCTAGTATAAGCGTGGGCGCCGTGTCTAGTCTCGCCGGGAGAGCGCACACATCAAAGTGCGCGCGCAGTGTATTCTCTCTCTCTCTCCTTCTTTTTCACACATACACACACGCACATTTTCTTTCTCTGTCACTCTTTTTCTCTCTCCTCTAGTCGTCCGCCCACTCGATATCCGCCGGTGTCCCGACCACGTGATTCCCCTTCGTCTCCCCTCCCGCATCTCGTATAGGTTTTCATGGGAGGAAGAAGACGAAAAGAGGGAGGAAGGAAGAAGGCGGAAAAAGACGGAGCAAGAGTCTTCGGCGAAGTGCGATTACCGCAGACTCGCGGAATCCTTCGGCTTTTCTTCCCTTCTCCGTCGCGCCTCCTTTCGCCTTCTCCCCGCGCGCGCCGCATCTCATTCTCCTTTTTTCACTTCCTTCCGAGGCTACCGTCGGGATGTTCCTACGTGCACGTCTCGTAGCGAGGAACGAAAGACGTGGGTATTGATCAGAGCCTGCCGCGGCTGCGGAAGTAGCCGACATTACTTCACGGAAAACCGGCTGCCTCCTCGTATGCGCTTACTCTGTTTAACATGCGCATCCGTTCGCTTCTATTAATTAGACGGCTGCAGATACCTTTCGTTTTATGTACAATATCAAAAAACTTGCATAACACGAAAGGATGATCCAAGAAACGGAACTAAACACGCTACTGTGATAAAATGTTACACACACATCGTGAGATGGATAAAATTTCTGTTAAACATCATTCTTCATTTTAAAAGGTAAGCATCCGTTTATCTACTCATCAAATATTTTCCAGCTAATAACGGATAATAATAACTTATTATTTCCAATTATAACTGTCTTAGGAATTATATTCTGACTTATGATTGCAAAAAATTAACTCATCGTCGATTAAAAGTTCTCATGCTTTAACTTCATCTAATTAAAATCTACAATCATAATTGTAACATAATTATTCAGTTTTTTATACAGCCAAAATTGGTGACACAAAGCGCATAAATTTTTATTTATAAAACAAAAAGATATTTCGTATTTGTGATTCCAATCGACGATAAATCCGAAATAGAGAAGAATAAATGGGATAAAATTATATCACCGTGTTGTGAGAATGATAAGAGACAAGATGAAAAACAGAAAAAATCCAGCATGAATCAATGTGAGAACAGGCTCATGAATTATATCAGAGTTTCATCAAATATTTTCCAGCTAATAACGGATAATAATAACTTATTATTTCCAATTATAACTGTCTTAGGAATTATATTCTGACTTATGATTGCAAAAAATTAACTCATCGTCGATTAAAAGTTCTCATGCTTTAACTTCATCTAATTAAAATCTACAATCATAATTGTAACATAATTATTCAGTTTTTTATACAGCCAAAATTGGTGACACAAAGCGCATAAATTTTTATTTATAAAACAAAAAGATATTTCGTATTTGTGATTCCAATCGACGATAAATCCGAAATAGAGAAGAATAAATGGGATAAAATTATATCACCGTGTTGTGAGAATGATAAAAGACAAGATGAAAAACAGAAAAAATCCAGCATGAATCAATGTGAGAACAGGCTCATGAATTATATCAGAGTTTGCGATTATCTATATTTAGACTTTTTTCGATCATCAGTCTCGATTCTTATATTATTGTGGCTGAATCAAAAACGAGAAAAACTCGGTCTGAGGAAAAAAATTAATAAAGCATGAAAAGTTTTAAAATGGAAAAATTGCATGATACTGATGAATGAATACTGAACAAGAAGACATACGACGGCGGTAGAAGGATTAATAATAAGACATGCTTCTGGTTGCTGCTTGATTTCCGACGTCTCTTATTCTCTAAATTTGACAGTCGTAATGAGCACCGTCGAGCAAAAATCGCGATGTGCTGTATAAAGATGAAATGGTACCTGTCCGGCGCAAAAATGTCAAGCATCACGTGCTACCGTTTCCATTTTTTACAGTATTCATATATCTGTATAATAAAGCAGATACGTGACATTAATAATAATATGTGTGTGTGCTCACGTTTTCTATAAATAATTTCTTATGACATTATCCGCATTACAAGACACGATTCTAAATATAAATTGCATATTTCCTTTCCAATCGCGTTGTAAGATGTCAAAGTTCTCTTACATAAAATAAATATAAACGCATAGTAATCCAGAGCAAAAATCGTATTATTTGCATATTATATGTCATAAAGTATATAAATTTGAGTAAATAATAGTGTAGCAAAACGACGTTAAAATTAATCGAATAACATTCGTACACGTATGTAGATATAATCGATGTCCTCGAAGAAACGCACACACATACTGAGACGATCGTGTTTTATGGCGCATCGTAATTCAAATATCGCAGTGTATAAAATTCAAATCGCCCGTCGTAAAGCAAAAAGTCGTTCCAAGTCGAATAAGGGCGGTGCATTAGCGGCCGGACCTACGTCAGACTGCGCTTAATGTACAATAAAACAGTAAATATTTTTTCATTGTACTTCTTCGTACCAGAAAAGTATCGTTGAAAATGTCAACTTGTCAAATGTCGGCAAGATCTTCTTGACTATCGAATCAAGGCCGCAAACAACGGAAAGAAACATTAAGGTTTACGTCATCGATTAAAACTGAATCAGCTTTAATCATAATCTGACAGTGCTGTCACAGCAGTTATTTATCATAGTAGTCATTTAATGAAACAAAGTTTCAGTTGCAACTCTTTCGTAATTAATTTATTATATCATTATCTGAGAAAAAAACATCTATTATATCATATTAAAAAAATAAGAAATCTAAGACTTTGGTCGCGCCGTTTTATTAATTTTTTGCTTGATAAAATAATAAGAGTAATAATGAATTGTGTAAACTAATATATAAGTCGGCGTTTTGATTAAATATTTAAGGAAATATGATGTTCTTTAAAAAATACGATAAAACATTTTTTCATAATTCTTCAATAATAAATATCTAGTAATTAAATATAAAATTAAAAAATCTATTCTAGGTCGAATAGAGGAAATTGTTATTATTGTATTTTAAAAGTTTAATTCGTTGATTAAATATAGTTCCTTCTTCTTATGAAATATATGAATCCTTCATTTACAGAGAAAGACACAACGCTCGCATACAAAACAATAAATATATTGCATCTAATGATTTGCAGTAGAATTCTCTTTGCATGCGATCAGTAGCAAAAGCGCCGTGTTATTACGCACACACAAACGCATGCACGGCGAACTTCCAGCATGCAATTTTGTCGCATTAAAACGTCATAATGCCACAACGACACTCGCGAGGAATCAGCGGCGCATTCGCACGCGCGCGACCAAAGCCATATTAAATTAATGCTCTCCGCGATTTCGCGCGCACGCAATCGTATCTTAAAAGAAAGAAAAACTCCCGTTCCCGTCCCGCGATTGCATCACCATCCGTCCCTCCCCGCATCCAAGACCGAGTGGCGCCGAGCGGAGCGTGTTCGAGTAGTGAGATCGCGCATGCTGGCAATTATTTGCGCAGCTCCTTACCCGCGGCGCGGGTTCATTAAGACACTAATTACTGGCGTGCACGCGTGTGTGCACGTAAGAAGCGGAGTATATGTACGACGAGGTACAACACAACGGGGCCCCCGGGTGGCTTGCTCACCTTACCCTCTGCGCGAACTTCCGCGACGTTGTTCTCGCTCGCGTGTGTAGCGAGCTAGGCAACGAGAGCTCTGGCACGCTCCAGACATCTATTTACAAGGTTGCACGTCTCGGTTACGTTGTTAGACCTAACTTGGCTCCGACCGCGACCGCTTGCCTGCCGCAGTTGCCTTAGGTTAGCCTGGGGGTGAGCGTCCGCAAAACCAAACCTTACAAGCACTGTATAACGTTTCGCTGCGTCTGAAAGCTCTTCTGGGACGCATTATTCACGTGCTTCCGATGCGCCTGTTTTTCCGGACCGAATCGATAACACGCGGAGCTAATGTATTTGTTAAGAGATGATGGAGAGGATTCTTTTAAAGATAATTGAAGAATAATATAATGCTCATTATTATAAGAGTATTTTTAGATTTGAAAACTGTATCGTCGGCATTATTATATTATTTATAAATTATTCGCATAAGAAATTAGAATAAATTAGAATATGTAGCACGATTTATAAAAAAATAGTACCAATTATTATTTTATATTGGAATCAATCTATAACAAACAACAATATACTAATGAAACTAGTAACGGCAGCACGAATAAAAAGATTCCACAATCCATAAAAAATATTTAATATACATTAAATGATATATAAAAATTAATTAAACATATATAAAATAAAATTCCGTCGTTATTATTATAAATATAATAATAATGACGAGATTTTATTTTTCTATCATCTCATTGCACGTGCAACATGCGGCATGGAAACTGTTGCAGCAGCCACGTGGTGTATCGCGAGAGAGGCTGCGTTTCCCACGGGCGGGGAATGACAGGGGTGTATACGGTCGGCCGATCAGTAGGTAGAGGGGTTGTTTAGAGCGAGCGAAAGAGAGGAAGACAGACGGAGAAAGGGGAGAGGTGGAGAAACACCGAGGAGGGGTGAAAAGCACGTGGCGCAGGCGACGCGCGCCTCTCTGCTACGGGTGGCTGTATATCTATCGGGCTTTCCACCCCCAGCATCCCCCCCACTTGTTGTGCTTTACCGTGTTGTGTTGCTATGTTGCCTTGTATATCGAGAAAGTTCAACGCCGGCTAGACGATGTTTCCCATCTGCCGGATTTACCGGCATCAGAATCAACAGGCTTTCTCCCGTCACTGTCCTCAAGAAAGCGCGAAGAAAGTGTCTCTTTCTGGATGAAATTCAGACTTAGAGATAATGCGAATTTTCAGATAGGATATTTCGGCGTCGCGAAAATAATCCCCTTTCGCAAAATTCGCAACATAGATAAATGCGGCGGAATTTTTCTTGCGATTCAATGAAAATTTTTGAAATAACGAACATTCTTATGATTCATCGTTTATGACAAACGTTACCTTAAATTTTAATATAGTTGACCGATGACAAAACAATTTAATACAAAATTCAATAATAATTTTGAATTATATCACAAAGCTTTTGCAAGTTAAAAAAACCTTGTTATATTAATATTAATAATTATGCCTATTATGAAGAGACGGCAAACCGAATTCTTGAAGGGGATGTATGATTATTGGTCGACCCTCTTTGCTGGAGTGTACCATGGAATATTAAGGAGCAGCCCTAAAGGGAATATTCTGAGCACCGGCATGAGAAAACTTTTGGGTAATATCGAATAGTTTGAAAATTTTAGTTTTGTTATATAATTTAGAAACAAGAGTTAAAAATTATAGCTTTTTTTTATTTTATGTTTATCTACCAGCATATGTAATCCTAAATACATTTGCTTTATTAAATAAAGCAAATATTTTGTTAAAAATTATTTGTGTTGAATGATAAAATTTTTTTTTTTTTTCATTTATTCCTTCACACACACACACATTTATTCTTTCATTATATATTTCATCAAAAGTACCTTAAAGCGAACTTTTCGCGATCCCGATCGCCCCTCGAGATTTAAATTCTCCTTTAACATCGGAGCAATTTCTTTTCACAGCAATCGCAAGCGTTTAATTGGTCCAACGGAGAGGCAGGTGGCTACATTAATTGCACCGGATTGCCAGCAGTACGACGAGCTGGTCAGGATGCCTAATCATGGGGGTTGTGCGGCGATAGGTCGGTCCGACGCGGCAGAAAAGGCGTCTCGCATTGAATGCTAAACAAAAGCTAATTTATATCCGGAGGTCGAGACTAACGCTGGAGATCGGGAGATGAATGGCTGTTCACCTTGCATACCAAGTGGCAAGCCGAGTCCTTCAGGACCGCGGAGTTAAAGATCTTGGAGGGAATGTTCCCCGTGGAATAGTTGCTTGTATCTTCAAATATCGCGTACGAGACGGCGAACTGGATTTTAGGAGCTCGTCAAAAGGCGCTCGATCGCTGCTTGATTTCTATTCAGGCGGCACGTAAATTTAAACGCCGTGAATAATTTTCATCTTAAAATATCTAACAATCAACCCTTTACAACGTTCTCTTTCAGTAAGTAAATTCAGGAAAGTAAATTCTAAGCGAGATAATTTCTAGTAAAGTTTTAAGATTCAGAGGCTGCAAGAGCAATGTATTTAGATAGTAATTTTAGATAATCTGAAGGCGTAAAAATTTTACACAGAGAAATCGAAACAAACAATATACAAATGTAATAAAATTTCTTTGAAAAATCCACGTCTCACATGCAGAGATTCTCTTTAATACTTAATTTATATTATTATTCGTAATTCGTAAGTTTTGTCGCGCAGAGTTGAAGAGCGCGGAATGAATATTCCGGTTTCTATCGATTTGTGGAAGGAAAAAATTTCCGAGCACGTATTACTAGTGACGAGCAGGATTCGCATCGCGAGCTTTCGAATCTACGCGGTTTAATCTATCATTGCGACGGCGAGACGAGAAGCCGGAGTAACTAGTACGGAATAATTAATAAATGCGAGGTGCATTAGTATGCGTTGCGGAGGATGAGTTCGTGCGGACCTGGAGTCGGATGAGTCGGGCCCGGGGCTAGAGAGAGAATTATAAAATAATAAAGAGAAAATTACGTAATGTGAGGATCAGATGAGAATTAGAGGACAATGAAGACGGGGTAAACCTCCCGTCTAAAGATGGGGGGGGGGGGGGGGGGAAGGGGTGAAACGGCGTTTGCTGGGGATGGAGGACCAGACGTCTTAATGTCTGCATCGTCGGAAACTCGTCCCTCGCGCATGACTATCTCTGCGACCCTTACATCTTTCCGATAAGAACCTTAAGTCCCGAAGATAAATTCGACTCTTTCTAAACCTTTGATATCCCGAATTTTCCAGCGTGTTAGTGTCTGGCGCAAATCGGTATATCTAATTATTCACGAAGAATAGGACTCAAATTTTTATCGTTCCACAAGATATCCCGTAAGTGACATGTCTCGTATATACGATTTGTGACCTCGACTATCTTGTAAAAATAAACGTCTGTCGCCGAATGGCATAACGCAAAAGAAAATTTTCACAGCAGTATCTTAAGATATCCAATAAAAACAGCAGAAATAAGTGATCTGTCTCATCAGAAAAATTATGAATAAATAACTAATGTTGTTTTTAAATCAAACATGTGCGATACAACTCTTGCAACACCTTTTCCAATTCTAAAAAAATTTCCAACATCTATTTTGCATTTTATAGAGATAACATTATGTAAAGCAATGCATTTATTTTTAATATTTTATTTCATTCACGACATTAAAAGTCTCACTACTACATAGTCTTTCGCAACTCTTTCATTATGAGAGCTGGTGAAATGTCGCGAGACTTATCGAAATGGAATACGATGTCGCCGCGGGTGCTAATCGGGGATTCTAATTAGTAGTCAGCCAGCGCAGGCCCGACGCGACTTTGTAAATGGTAACAATGTTATGTAATTAGGTAAAAAGTTCTGTAATCAAGAAGTAGATCTTGTGCCGAGCCGGCCGCCATACCATCGCGCGCTCTCGTCTCTGATCCTCCCACCCTCATTCGTATTAAAATAGTCTCGCTAGGAAAGCGTGCGTTGTGCTCTGCATATCTTAAAACCCAGGGGCTGGCTGCGGGAACGGTCTAAGAGCCACCACCCGTTCTGATTTTTGCCGCGATTCATATTACTACAGGCGTGGCTGAGATTATGAGAGCGGTATGAGAGAATCAACGCTCTTATACATTCCAGAGTCAAAAGCGAAACAATTCATGCCTTGCAGCATCGAAAGTCGCGCGCGAGAGTTTGATTTTGAACGGATAAGATCGACGCGAGAGAACTGGTAGAAGTGATACATGTATCGCTACGCATTGCTTCCTGAGATGCTGACAAATGCATACGTGATTGCAACAAGCGAACGTACTGCACCGTCGTTGTCACGTAGACATATGCGATAGCGCAATTTGTGTTTACGACTACACGTAACGCCATGCGTAAAAGGAGCTGCGGTACGTTAGGTAAGCATACGCGTATATGCACGCATGAGATCATCGGTCGCGTACGCTCGCGGAAACGCTGACGTCAGTGGTTTCGGTTGCTTTTGTTATTTTTGTAAACGATCGCGCTCGATATGATGATATCAGGAAGACAAATGCCGATTGTGCACGTGCGCCTGACGATCCGTACATGTTTAATTCTCTCCTTACTTAAACAAAGTATGTCACTCGTTACAAAAATAGAATTATTATTGAAAATCATAGCTGAAGCTCATCAAAATTTTCATATATACATGTATATATAATTTTGCATTTAATGGAGTTTTATCCCATTCAACACTTTATATTCAAAATGTTATATATGTATACAATAAATCAGGGTTTTGATTAGTCGAAAAATCTATAATTGAAAAATAAAGCAATACAATCATAAGATGTATAATTTTTCATATTTCCAAATGCAAATTCAATAAGCCAGAGAGAAAGAGAAAGAGAAAGAGAGAGAGAGAGAGAGAGCTCTGCATTATATAGTTTTTCTTATTAAATAAATATTACAAAAATGTGTGAGTTCTTATGTAATAACAGCATGATCACATCGCATTGTGCCATATAAAATATCATCGTATCCGAACATGTGTAAAGACGCGCGCCGTGCAATCCACATCGTAAAGATTGGAGATCGGCACGCGATTGACAAAGGCAAATAATATGCAAATCAACGAACATTAAAATTGTTGGCAAATGGCACAAATTATGACGCGAGTCATTGGCAGAGATTATGCGAGTCGTGCAGCATGTGAGTCATGCATAATGATACGTGAATATGAAACTTTGTACACGCAAAAAATATTCATCACATTGTCACGTACTCGTAAATAATTTCCAATAATAATCAAATCTTAGCACACAAATTTAGGATGCCGCAAGACAGGAGAATGATTCGCCGAGAAAATTAAAACATCGAATGATTCGCAAGAAGATATAAAAAAAACCATCTAAGCATTTGACGAGACGTTCGCTCATTAAGGTCTCCTACGAGTGAGTAACGGGAATGTCGCGGAGGGGATGCGAAACTCGACACGGCGGAATTAAATAAAAATAAAACGCGAGATAATAACGTTAGCGAAGGAGCCGAGAACCCAAGACAAATAGTCGAGGGAAAACAAAGCGTATTATAAATACCGGGTGACAGGACGAGTGGTACGGGGGAGTGAGCGTAAGCGCAAGAGGGTAGTCGGCCACGTTGGTCGAAGGGTGGAGGTTTTCGAGGAGGGGGTGACGATATAGTAGCCGACGACTCTTGGGAGAAAACGCTCGAGAAAGCAGCGACCCCGCCAGCATTTTTGCTACCTGCCGACACAATGAGCCGCCGGATTTCTTTTCTCGTTCCTACCCTTCCTTCCTCATCCCTCGGAGCGACGCGAGCATTCTTACCCGCCGGAATTATAAATTTGACGCATTTACCCTCGCGAGAATTATAGCCAATAATCTCGAAATCGTATTACGACCGAAATATGCAATCAATTGATTGAGAAAAATAAATCTGAGATTATTTCCTATGAAACTACATTTGTTACGAAAAATTTTTTTTTTCTATTTCATAAAAATTCGTAAATCTTTGAATAATTTCTCTATATCTTCGAGAAAAAATAAATCTATAGTTTATATGTATTTTTACTATCTAGTTGAAGACTATATTCCGCACAACTATATATTTCTCATATAAGATTATAAATATAATCTACGTAATAAGTTAGCAAAAACACTTACACTAGGACGACCGTGGCCGCGTGGATTCAGCTGCCAGGGAACTGTCGATGGCTGAAAATGCTCCTTTCCCCACGAACCGTTGTCAAACGGATTTTCACCAATGTGTCCCTGAAACAAAATAAGTATTATAATTAGTAAGATGTATATAATAGCATATCGTAATAATACATCTAAAAAAAAATAACACGAGTATACATAACAAATTTATCTGTATATAAAAATGCAAATAAAGATATATTCTGCCAAAAAGAAATGGTTTCTTTGAAATACTCACAATTAACAATAAACTGCAAAGATCGTTAATAAATTTTTGATGAGAGAGGTACATGGAATTACTTGTATGATTGCGGATTTTTATTCTCACGTCTCGATAAACAAGAAAAGTTACACGGCAGGCCAGGTCGAGGGGCATCGATCTTCGAGGCTCCCAAAAGTTTCAAAGTTTTTTCGACGCTTTTCCGCACGCCGCGTCTCGCCGCTTGCCGGCGAGCTTATTTTTGTAATATATTCCGCGAGCCGCGGCGTCTCCCCCACCTCTCTTTCTCGACTTTGCACCCCGTAAGCCTTATTTTTCTTTTAACTTTATTTTTAACCTAGAATCTCTTCCGACGGTAAGGTGGCACGCACATAAATCACCGGATATAATGAGAACACTTCGTCTTCGGGTGCTTCGCCCTCTCGGTCGCAGACGCATCTTTTGCGCGGAACGGCTATTATATTATTCGTTGCTTCGCCGCGGAAATCGGCCGCCTTTATATTAATATTCATTTCCCGCATGAGGTGACACTGGCATTTCGCGCGAAATAAAGAGCGCTGGTCGATCTATAAAAAAAAAAAAAAACTTCAAAGATCCATAACGGAAAGAATACACGCGAGCAAATGTAATTTAAATATGATATTTTACTAAACGTCACACAATGGTAGTATTTTATGTGCTATTGAAACTGGCGATATTTTATGTTCCGTATTTTATGATGTAAAGTTTTATTTACATTGCCGTTATTTTAAATCGCGTTTTTCGCCGTAAAAAACGAGACATCATATGTTGCTAGATTTATTAAAACATATATGAGGCACGCTTTTTGATGCAGTTGTTCTCAATTCTTTTTGACCTATGGATAAATTTATAATATTGTCGCGATAAATTCATAAATGTAATTACGATTACTTGTAAATAATTTTAGATATATTATTTATTGTAAATATGCGTCAATAATAAAATCTTGTTCAAAGTAATGTCATCTTCTTCTTGAGAACTATTACTCTAATAAATTATTTGACGTAAGAGTCCATCATTTGAACTAAGAATCGATTATATTTAAAGTTTAAAAGTTGGCCAGAATCATAATGATGCAACCGTAATGATTTACAGGAATCAGCGTAGAATATGACCGAGATCCTAAATTATTTTGGCACGGTATAATTAGCTAAATTTCCGTTCAAATGTATGCGTTACGCAAATCTTAGAAATACGCCTGCAAATGTCACTGCATAGATAGAAACGCGAACGAATAAAAAAAAAATATAATTATCTCCTTGTGCATTTTAAAATATTTCAATTTTTAAATAAATATTACATACAATGCATACAATAATATCATTCTCGAATGTTAAGCTCATCGAAGAAACGGGAGAATAGTTTCGACACAAAATTCGTATGAAAATAGAAACAAATCTTCAACCGTGTTAAATAATCCGCAAAGTTACGGAGACTTTGAAATCGTAAATTTTAAAGCGAGTCACAGGGACGCCTGATCGATTTCTATGAGAAGTCGGCATCGACCCAAGGGGTGTAATTACAAAATGTAACTCCGTTTATTTCCACGCGTGACGCGTGTAGGGTGGCAAGGTAATGTGTAACGATCGTCGCGCTCGGTCGATGAAACTTGCTTGCCAGCGGCTGTCTTTCACCGCTTGTCTGTCTCTCCTTGTTCCTTTAGTCCTCCTACTTTTTCCCTTTCTCTTTCTCTAAAAAGAGAGCCTCGTATGTTCTCCGTATACGAGGCGCAGAAATAAACAGTCGCGGTAGAAAATACTGAACCGGATAGCATATATAAATATGTGGAGGCTATTGAAGCACATTGTACGCGCGGTACATTTGCATGAGCCAGCCGAGTTCTCAACGCGCAGCTGGACATACATGCACGCGACAAAAGAAAACGCGCAAACAAAACACGCGATGCACACCACCGTTTCTCGCTCTTGTCGTCATGCTGGTCGTCGTCATCCCGCGCTCGGCATCATAGAGAATGTTGTATATTAAGTATTGTGTCCCGTGGAAATAAACAAACGGATCTCTTACCGTTACGCGACAAAACCGAAGATCCAACGTCCTTCCCTCTCGATATGTTCATTGTCAAATCGCGTCACGTGCGCCAACGACGACGTGCTGCAAGGCAGAAAATTGACGGCGATTTTAATTAACTTCTCTGTTACCGTATCCAGACGAGATCAGTTGTAGTTATATAATGCCTTTTATATTTATATATAATTATTAACGCGTAAAAATTGTGCATGGATGATGCCAATACAGAGAATATGGATTTATTTTTTGCAAAATAACACTTGCATTGTTACAATTCATTTTTTACTTGATTTATAAAAAATCTTCAAGATAATTGTGAATAATATATTTTAGGAAATCATATCAATAATATATATTGAGAAGTATAAGAAATTAATTTATTTATTACGTATGTTTTTAGGCAAAGCAACTACGAAATTAATACAGAGATATTATTTCATGAACCTTCGATCTCATTGCAACAGAATGGAACAAGTAATTATTCAAGTGTATTAGCTAATTTGATTATTTATAAGCGCAAATTAAAATAAATATTTATATCTGATAACGCGCATTTCTCATAAATGTTTCACCAATATTGAGTAATACTAAAAATTGCCATCAACAATTTATAAAGAAGCAAATATGTTAATAACATGAAAAATAAACACAACATTCTTTTTATTATGAAAATGATTTAATCTGATATATGACATAATATTTTCACGCCACGAGCTAATAATAATTTGAATATAAATCACGTGGTTACGATCGCAGCCGCGTGTCTCCGTAGCTCTGTATTAAGCGAAGCTCTAACCGCGACCTAATTCGAAGATAAGATAAGTCGTTAAGTGCATGGCGCGGCAGCCCCTCGCGATACTACCCGGTGTTTTATTGCCGCGGCGGCCCACCCACCCCCACGGTCCTCTCCTTCGAGGCACGGCGAGATTTATTGTAAAATTCGATAGATATTGCCAATTACAACCCCCGCGGCGCCTACCATCGGCGCGACGCGGCCCGCGCTATCGACAGAGACGGGAACAGGCACCTCCCGGTTGCGCCTCGAGAATTTTAAATGCGTTTTATGTACAGAGACGCGCGACGTAGTACGTTGCATAAATCCGTTCCCCTGAAAATATGATTACGATCATTCCCTTCTCTCCCTTCTTCCTTCCTCTGTACTATGCGAGAATGAGAGAAGAAACGAGAGGATGAATGGGAGGAACGACCTGCCGTCCCACCATCACCCCCGTGAACACCCTCAGACACGGCACAACGATAAAACATTTCATTTCGTTTCGAGTGTCTCACGAGGAGGTCGAATAATCTCGTCAATTATTATTTTTACTACTGCCTTCTACATGCTAATTTTTCGCACGTATAACGCGTCTCCAGGATCATTCGCCGGACGACAAAATGTCTCGTCTGAAATGGCGCTCTCGAATGATGAATATGCAATCTGTTCGGTCATCCCCCGACATCGACACAGTTCGAGTAATTGGGAAATTCGAATTTACGATTTGATTATTTACGGAATTACCGAACGACTGTAAATATAAATGGATTTTTTGCGCGAAACAATACGGATGGTGGACAGATTCACATTAAACTGACATAAATGATGAAATCATGAAGATATTTCAGCTGGTAATTTAATAATTAATATACAACAACGAAGTCAATATCAATAAATTTATGCCAAATCTAGGTAATAGGACTAATTTATCACTTTAGTCAATGTGCCATTAACGGAAACCATTTGTCACGTCATCTGAATGTTTAAACCAGCATTCGTCAATATGTATATTATTACCGTTAAACTCACGTCAACTTTTAATTTGACTTCTTTAACCGTAAACCTCTCTAAAGTTGCTAATTTTATCTCAATGACTTTAGTTTGACGGCAGTGTTTTTCACTATTATATTATGACAATATCTGCAATACCACTTACTTGCATTTGCTTTTACTTTTCTATTTTGTAACTATTATAAAAAAAAAGAAAGTATCCTTTAATATCTTACTTTTAATTTTAAATAAAAATATTCTCTAATTACACAAAAAAGCCATTTAAATGACAAACATAAGATAATAATGAAATAATATCAGATTATAAGTTTTTATCCGTTAGATAAAAATCGATAATATGATGACCGTGACTATAAGATCTCTCTCTCTCTCTCTTTCGCGTAACTTTTTTAACAAGAAAAAACTAGATAAATAACACAAAGCTTATGTCACCGACAATTTTTATCCGTCCAATCGTTAGCTCATATAGCGCCGACAAATAGACGCGCTTTCGGATGCGGTCGTCCGAACGAACGAGTTACGATCGCGGGGCTTCTAAAAATAAATATGTTGTTTATTCACAAGTAAACCGGATGCCGTTGTTTGCTTTGGAGCAAATTGTTTTGTTAAGTTTTGCCGAGCGAGAACGAGCCGCGGATGACTCGCCTCCACGTGTACGCGCGAAAGACAGAAACGTGTGCGATATGAAGACGGGACACGAGGGACAACGAGAGGAGCACGACGAAGTCGACCGTCCCGTTTTCTCTGTGCTTTTTCCGGTCTGTTTTGCTCTTCCGCTCGTGATGCTAGAGAAGCCTCCAGCTGTACGTTGATTCTAACACTAATAACCGGTGCTCACACTATGGTCCGTACAACATGTGAAGACGCGACGAACAGCTGACGCTGTAATCGCGATTCTCGTAGTGATAGCCGGATTGCGTCAGGCGACTCGTAATTTGCATTACGATGACTCATGAGTCAAAAATAAGATTTATACTGACACTGACATCTCATGCCGAGATGTAAGAATATTATCAT